ATCTTCTTCTTCTTCTTCTTCTTCTTCTTCTTCTTCTTCTTCTTCTTCTTCTTCTTCTTCTTCTTCTTCTTCTTCTTCTTCTTCTTCTTCTTCTCATCACACTTGAAGTCCGGTATCTATCAATAACAGGCGTCCTGCTCAGTTCATCTGCCGGCCCTTAAAGCTTCTCTTGTTGTGTCAATGGGGTCTGCCATGTTTCCTGTCTCAGGGCCCTGTGTGTGTCTTGCCGTGCTGAAGGATGTGTTCCACGTAATATTGCAAAAATAATCGCCGACAAAACTCCTACTAAAACTAAAATAACTTAAATGTCCTTAAAAAAGAAACCGCAAAAATTTCCCCTACGGTTGGACATTGATGCAACACGTCCAAGCTTCAAAAGGAGACATCTTCATAATGAGACATCTTTACAATGAGACATATATGAGACATTTTCACAATGAGACATAAATGAGACATCTTCACGATGAGACATATATGAGACATCTTCACAATGAGACATATATGAGATATTTTCATAATGGGACATCTTCACAAAATGAGACGTCTTTCATCGAGATATTACAACAATGGGGCATCTTTATAATGAGACATCTTCATAATGAGACATCTTCACAATGAGACATCTTCATAATGAAACATCTTCCAGTTGTTGTTGTTGTTGTTATCGATCCAGTATGAGACATCTTCACAATGAGACATTACGCACTATGTTGAGCATGCAGCCTTGAGAGTAACAATTTCTGCAGCATGCTATCATCGTTTTTACGCTGCCCTAGAATTTCAAAATTCTATCTGCTCAGTACCTAGTTTTGAGAGATTCGAAGTAAAAAATTTAGAGTTTCACAACATGCTTTTCCGAACCCAATTCTTTGAATATCTTGATGACGACTCCGAATAACCTTACCATCTTAATAGAGCAGATAGAACATTAATTGGTTTCTGACCTCATGGCCTTAGCAACTCAAAACGGCCAAAAATGTCAGAAAGAACTTGGTCATTCCAATGTAGCGACAAGTCGACTCCCAACTCTTTCTATCGCAAGTATGTCGACTTCTATTCAAGATAGATGGATATTTTTTCACCAAATGCAAGAAAAATGAACATGATTTGTCCATTAATTGATGAGCGCCTGATTCCATCGTTTCTTGACATACATGTTTTTGTATGTTGCCAAATTTTTCGAAAACGAATCAAAAGAGGAAGTCGCTGTTCTATGTTATATGGTAAATTTCAAACTTAATATAAACAGCACAGTACATGTACATAATGATATTTAATTTGAGTTTTAAATGTCATCAGCCTGAACTATATTGTGGGTGTTAGAAGTTAAACATTTTGAGTTTCACAACATGTCAAGCTTTTCCGACCGCAATTCTTTGAATATCTTGGTAACTACTCCGAATAATGTTGCGATTTTTTATAGGGCAGCTGATACAGCATTATGGTTTCGGACCTCCAGGTCTTAGTAACTCGAAACGGTCAAAAGTGTCAAGTAGAATTTTGTAATTCTAAGGTAGTGTTTCATCGAAAGGGTCAACCAGCTGCTCAGATTAATGTACTGAATGCTGTTGTCGTTGCTTTCAAATCCCTTTTGCTGCGAGTATTTCGCTCTTGGCAGCGCAATGCCTCCCTCAAGTAACCACATGTCCTTGTCATCTGGTCAACGCCAGAGTAGAGCAGGCTTTGTAAGTCTGTAGGTGTGTGTAGGCGCCTGCGTCGACGAAGAACTGCCAGATGGTTTGGGCAGTGAAGGAGAAAATGTTAATGTACTGAATAAACCATTTTAAAATTATACTCTTTACTGCAGTATCACAAGCTGTGGTGTCAGCTCGCTGCCTCAGAATTAATAATAATAATAATAATAATAGTAAT